TAATAAATAGGTTCAGTGTCATGCCAGCCTTCCTCACCTGCCCATATGTATAAAATTGTGCATATTTTCTGATCACAAACATTATCTATGAGTAATAGGAGTAGTGACTGGCTGTTGCCGGAAGAATACAACAGGGTATTTCAGCTGCAGCAATGGCCAGCTTGTGACAAATGCTTCCGTCACATTCTGCAAGTACTTCTGCTGCTGATCTGTGCAATTCACTCAAAAAATACGAACTGAAGTCTTGTATGTATTTTATTGATAGAATAGCATGCTGAGTCCACCAACCACTGAACAGTTCAGAGCCTAGCCATGTATTTCCATGCATGAAATTAAGATCCGATCCTTTGTTCATTTCAGTATGGACTCTTCACTCGCTAGAAGGGAAGAAAAAAAACCAAACATAGTTAGGACTACTAGTTGCTCCCATGCAGTACTAAAATACACAAAGCATTAGTGGGATCAAAGGCTACCTTTAAGCACACCATTTCTTTCTAGACAGTTTTTATGATTCCCGCTTCTCCTTACACAACAGAAGTGTATTTCCTTGCTTTGGGGTAAAGGCACTTTTTTGGTTTATTCATTAGTAAATGAGAGTTTTCTGTACAGACAATGTAGATGAGCCCAGAAAAAGCTATCACTACAGATATGGCCAGTTATCCATCTTTAAAGAACAATCTTCAACAACTGCATTGCACTGAATGAAGTTTTAACAATTGCTTTCCTAAGTGGAAAACCACACCAAAACCACTGTTGGGAAAGCAGACCGGTCATCTGTGTGCCACTTTTAAGTTGATTAAACATTCTAAAAAACCAATCACAGAATTCCATTATTAAGTGGAGTAGCAACACACAGTAGTAGTACAGCCTCTACCTCCAAAAATACAAAGTTTCAGCTAAACTAGAAAACATCTAAAAGACCCATTTATTTAGTCCGTGACCAATGGAGACTATATATTTAAGATGGTAAAACAGCTGTGCAAAATAACTATCTCTAGTAAGCGATGCAATTCATCAACTTGTGCATCTGGTTTTTTTATATGTGTTTTATATGTTCATTTAATTTTACATGGTTTTGTTCAACATTAATCTTGTTTAGGACAATGCAAATGTCACTATTCCCAGGGAAACAGTTACTAAATGTGTAGCTGCAACAAGAACAGCTTGAGTCATTGATCAATTTTCTTAAAAGTTCTTCTTAACTGTTAAGTCCACCTAAAAAAAAAAAACCCTAGGTAAATTCAAGCTAGACAGCATGCTCCTCTGTAAGGCGAGGGGAGGAATACTCTTTTACAAATGCACAGGGGACCCAAGAAACAATCCTAAGGACGTGAGACAAAAGAAGCAATACTAATCCCAGTTGATCACCTTCAGCAAATTCTCTTCATGCAAGAGATACAACAAACGAAGCTGACCTTCAACACTATGCTAGTGATACCACTTAGAAGTCTGAGTTGCAATTCCAAGCAGTTGCCTATGACTTCTGGTTTAGGTCATCAGTCACATTTACGAGATTTCTGTATTATTGCATGGAGAAGAGGGATCGCAGATTCACTGCATCCAGCTGAATAAGGGACATCTGAGTACAGTTAATGTACAGTCTCAGTTATTCCTCACAGAATAACCAGCAGCTTTTAGCAGTTTGTCTTCTCAGTGGAAATTCAGACTGCCATTTAACAAGCCCTGTTTGGTTGCAAAAGTGCTTTTAACTCCTCCTTTACTGATGCTTACATTTTTAAGAGCTTGTCAAACAGCAGCACTATTTACCCTTCACATAACCCAAACCACTGCTCCATGGATCCGCATGGGTCTGCAGCCCTCTGGTTGTAAGCCTAAATTTCTCCTAAAAACATTGCAGTAAAACAGTGGTCTGCCTGCAAGCCAGTGCATGTGCTATGGCGTGGGACACACATGTTAAATCAAGGGGCTACCTTCTGCAAGCTCTTTTGCAATCCGCTCCAGTTCTTCACGTTTCTTTTTCTCTTCAGCCTCTATTCTTCTTTCTTCTTCAGCAATAGGCTTTAGGTAGTCTGTTATTGAAACATTCGCTTTAAGACACAGTTTCTAGAACCCAGCACAAAGCTCTGCACCTGTTAGCTCACTCAAAAAGGAAGCAAAAGCAGTTCCGCTGACACAAAGGGACGTTTCATACGAATCTGACTCCAAACCAGTAAGGGCCCGCCTGGGAGGGCCACCTC